CTGCCCTCCCTCCCTCCTTTCCTCCCTCCCTCCTTTCCTCCCTCCCTCCTTCCCACCCTCCCGACAATCTCTTCCCTATTTGCATGCACGCCATGCCCCTGCGTGGGTGGGGTGACATTTAAATTCGTCTCGGCGCCGAGCGAGCTGATAAACGGACGTTTAGGGATTACGACATCATCGCCGTACGAGTGATCGGGATCAGCGATGGCTTCTCTCCGTCATTCTTCCCGTGTAGGAGGAGGATGCTGCGTGATTGAGCGGACTGATCGGATCGTGGGAGTGTGGCACGGAGGAGATGCGGGAACGCAGCGGCAGCGGCGGTGCTTCTGGCGTCGAAGAAGATTCTTTTTATCTTTCGCTTTTTGCGAAAGATAACCCGGGGTATGCGATGAGTGGAATTGTTGACGATGGTCGGAAAACCGTTTCTGTTTCCCGCGGGGGTGGGGTGCTGGGGGAGAGAGGAGTGTATTTTTTTTTGGGGGGGAAGTACTTCTGTGAAATCCGCGGTGGAAACTTAGCGATTTAGCCACACTTCTTCAACTCTTCCTTCTTGACTTCTCCGTCCTCCCTCCTCCCCCCTCCGTTACTCACCCCTCCTCACCTTCCCCTACCTCCCTCCCCCTCCCTCACGTCGCCATTGTCCGTCGCCGACGAAGGATGTCGTCCGTGAGATGCAATAGCGACAATCGAATCAGACTGTGTGCGGAGCGCGCGCAGCTATGCGGCAACACAAGCACACAAAGTCACTGATATCGAAAAAAAAATTCATCAAAAAACCAAATAGAATTTCTCATCGTTTGCTGCTCGCAGATATAGCTCACAGACCATGAGAACAAATATATACCGCTACTGCTGGACAGTCGATGAATATCGGATTGTGAGATACCCTGCCCGTGTACACACACGTAGTCTGTTACATACACAGCTTCCCCAGACTCCATCATATAGGATCAGAGTTGATTTAGATTTAGAGAGTTGATATAGATGCCCAATGTTTGCTTTAAATTACAAATGGTTATCCGCGGTTTAGAATTCGAGATTATTCGAATGCGAAATAAAACAAATTTGATTATATGGCTGGTATTTGTGTGTGTGTGCGGAGGGTGCGTGTGCGTGTGTGTGTGTGTGTGTGTGTTGTGTGTGGGGGGGGGTGGTGTGTGTGTGTGTGTGTGTGTGTGTGTGTGTGTGTGTGTGTGTGTGTGTGTGT